ATCTTGGGAGGAAAGACGAGAGGGAATCTACTTCATATTAACGAAGAGTCTGATCCACTGAGGATTATCGGCCCAATTCAGTACCTACTAAATGAATGGGCTTTTGCTGTTGAGATCACTGCGAGCAGAGTTGGGCCCTGCCGCTGGATTTTGTCCCTTTTTTTGAGCTGCAATTCAAATTTCTGATGGGGTTTCCTTCTTTTCTTCTTATAAATATTGCAGTTGGCAGCCTCTCCAGAATTGAATGCCAGACAGATTTCGGACCAGATCCTACTTCCAAGGTTTCATAGGGTAAACGAGTCATAAAGTTTCATAGTAATCTCTGGGAGTTCCTTTTTGGGTGGTTGCTACTCCATAGCCAGAGTTTTGATTTCAGCATTCTTTCAGTTGACTTTCTATGCTGGGTGGAGACTCTCTGTCTCTAGCCAACTCTTGTTTGTTTGAACTAGGAGTTCAACATGGAGTCATCTTGACAAATTCTAATTCAGTACAACAATGGAACTCATTAGGTTACAAATGTACGTGGTATTGTGTGCGTGTGTGTGTGTGTGTGTACATTCTGCTTCTTAGCATCCTCCCAACGACTGGAAGCTTCCACTTGCTGAGCTTGGGTTTGATTTTCAATTCTGTTATGAATAATACTGAATTCTGCTGTAGGTAGCATCTTTCCCTGTTCTCGTAAATGGATTTTATGTGTGTGATTTTATGATTCGGTTCCTATAGTAATGTTTGTTCATTTATTATTATTATTATTTAACATCTGTATACAGTGCCTTTGTCCCGGAGAAGAGATGGGCACTGCCAGGAAACTAGGCCCCTATGATCGAGTTGGTCATGGGATACATGCATATATACCCTTTACTTGGTGCATGCTGCTTTACAGAGAATGAAGATATGGGGTTTGATTCCTAAATCCATTCAATGGAGTTGCATCATCATTAAACTGGTGTAACAGAGTGGGATATTGGGCTCATGGTCCCTATCCCAATGGACTTCCAACCTGGGTATATTTGTCAGCTCTCTTAAATTTGAGGGTGTGTTTCCCCTCCCCTCCCCCCCAAGTGTCAAAATAAATTTTGCTTCTCTCCACTTCAGTGTTTACCCTTTCCAAAGAGACTGGTCCACCATAGATCTATTCTTGCCTGGCAGTATTCTCAAGGGAAATGCCTATGGGAATCCTGTCTTACAGCACTGCTACTCCCAAGCAAATACCACAAATCAGTTCTCTAAAAGTCACAAGTGAGGAAAAAAATAAATGTGCCGTTCTTTATTTGCTTTCTGGCTTTTGACCCTTTAGTCGTATTTTAATTTTTTTCTGTGCAACCATGAGGGCTACTAATTTATTGTAATAAATTAAAAATACAAAACAAAGATTATCTCCTAATCCTATGACTCCAGGACCTGGGTCTTTAAGAAAAACATCAACTATCATGAAATTTGTGATAAAATTGCAAGAGTCAGCAACATTGCTCTTCTGATAAAAATATGCACCATGCGAAGGTTGTCGTATATGTTACCCAGTTCTGCCCTCAGAAACACTCCTGTTAACTTCAGTGGCATTGGGCAAGTATAACTGAGGGTGGAATTTAGCCCACACATGGTTGTTTGTGACAAGTCACCACAATAACATCACCCTTTATGTCCATTCTTTTGAGGTTGAAGTCCTAGCTCTGCTGAAATCAATGGCAAAACTCCCATTGACTTTAACCGATCCAGGGTTTCTCCTTTGTTCTGTGGCTGGCTGCTGAGATTCCCCAAGCATGGGAATGTTAGGAGGTGATATGCTTAGGCAATACTTGCCCTTTGATCTCTCTTCACCTGCTCTTTCATCAACATCTGGGTGCACCTAACCAATGGCTTAAAAGAAGAGAAGACAAAGATGCTATAGGTGAGTTGAGACATGAAGGCAAGACCAGAAGAGTTCTGGGAACCGTATGCATCAAAAATGAAAGGGACAAAGGGCTGGGAATTGTTTGAGATTGTAAATGAACTCTGTGAAAAGAGCATTGAATTGTTACCAGTGACTGACAAGAACATAAGATGTAACGTGTGAGAAGAAGATATCCTATATGTCTGGCAGCCTGGGCAGCCGAAATTCAGACAAAAAGACAGCATCTGATGCTTCTCTGTGATTGCATTAAGTCAAGAATGGAGAAGAGGAGAGAAGAATGGAAAGCTGGTGAAATGAGAGAGGCAGACACAAGTGACATTGAAGAAAATGGAACAAAGTGGTTAGGGAGATTTCAGGAAAGAAAACCTGCGAAAGTGTGAAATAGTTGCCAAAGTACTCTCGACGGGTCCTGAAGCAGGGGAATGGTAGGAGTTCTTAGAAGGAGGGATAGCTTGGTGTTTTGAGCATTGGCCTGCTAAACCCAGGGTTCTGAGTTCAATCCTTGAGGGGGCCATTTAGGGATCTCGGGCAAAAATCGGTCTGGGGATTGGTCCTGCTTTGAGCAGGGGGTTGGACTAGATGACCTCCTGAGGTCCCTTCCAACCCTGACATTCAATGAGTCTATGAAATGGAGGGAATATTAGCAACTCTTCAAGACTCTGAGAGACCTGCCTAATTTGCAAATAAATCTAAATAGTATTTAATGTTGGAAATAGGGTAGCTGTATGCATTTATCTGCTTGAACCTGTATCATCCCTGAGGGATGAAACTGCTTGTTGTTTGAGTTCTCTGGCAATAAAAGGCAGTCATTATTAAACTTTGTCCTTCTCCTACAGTGACGGGGGAGGATGACCCTTGGCTATATTTTAGGACTTGGTAAGTTGCAATTTGTTTATTTATGTCTTCAGATTTCTAACATGGACAATCTGGGGCCTTTCTTTTGGTCAGGGTATCTATCCCAGAAATTAAAATCACAACATAAATAAAGGACTGCTCATAAATATATCTACCTCAGCCCGCTCCTCCTCAGAAGCACTGGAGAAGAGGAAAAAAAAGACAGGCTTTGAGTTGTGCCTGAAAAGTTAACAAATGTGGGGAAGTGATGGAGGGAACATGTTCCAAAACTGAGGACCAATCAGAGAGAAGGCCGTCATTTAAACGCATCGAGCTCCAGCTTGAACAATCCTGCTGATCTCCACTGCATCAGTATGGAAGCTGGGGGAGAAGTGTCTCTCAAGCATCCAGGTCTCGGACAGTTTAGAGCTTTATAGCTAAAAACCAACTATCTGAATTCCAACTGGAAGCTTATTGGGAGCCAGTGCAGATCATGTAGCACTGGCCTAATCTGTTTCCAATACACAACTCCACTTGTTAAGCAGGCTGCTGCATTCTGCACCGACTGCAGCTTCTGAGTGGTCCCAAGGTATACTTCTGTACAGATCACGGTACACCAGTCTATTTGGGAGGCGACAAAGGTATGGGTAATCAAGGCAAGGCCCACATTGGAAGAGATAGTCGCACTTGTTTTGCCATGCACAGCTGGGGGGAAAGTGCTGGTTGCCACAACCACCACCTGGACTCCATGACAAGCCCAAGACCCATCGGCACGCTCCAGCTGTGCCCCCGTCTTACTAATGATGGACACACTCCTTTAATGAGGGGTGGGGATATAACTTCTGCCCACTCTTCCACTTGCTTCTCATTGCCCAACAACATCTGAGTCTTGCCAGGACTGAATCACAGCCAGCCAGCTCTCATCCAAATCCCAAATTAATCCAAGCACTGGATAGTTACATTAATTGCTCTGGCTGGGTCAGGTATGATGGAGACATCGAACTGAATGTTGTCCGCATGCTGCAGCCTATGTAACCACCCTAGCAACCATGTGGAACAAAAGAGCTGGCAGTATGGGTCCCTGCGGGCCCCAGACCAGAGGAGCAATTGTCCACAGCTACCCTTTGGGTTCTCTCAGAAAGACCGGAATAGAGCCATTCAAGAGCAGCTTAATTCACCCTGCTAGTGTCTGCAATTGAATCTCATGGTCAGCGGTACCTAAGGCTGCTGACAGATCTAAAAGAATCCATGTAGACTGCTTTGGGCAATACTGTTCTACAGTTAGTCTTGCAGAAAGATAGAAACTTGGAACCCAATAAAATAGGTATCTCTAATATAATGCAGATGGGACAGAAAGCGAGACATCTTTCTGGATCACAGGATCACAGTTAGTACTGCATTTTGCATCTGTACAGTGACTTTCATAATCAAAAAACTTCTGAACGTTTTAGAGACAGGGAGATTTAGTCTGAGCACAGGATTGGGAATGGTGCACTCTGGAGTTCTATATTCCAGCTGTGTCACTGACACGCCTACTGTGTCTGCGTTTGGGCAAGTCGCTTAACCTCTGCACTTCAGCTTCCCAGTTTGAATACTGGGGAAAATGAGAATAGTAATACTTTAGTTACCTCTCTTTGTAGTGTCAGTTGATTAGTGACCCCGCAAAAGCCCCATATTAGTGGTGATAAGTATAAATGGTACCTTTCTTTTTAGTGTACTGTAGCATGGTAGTGGAGAGATCCAGTACAAATACGACTGTCTTAAAAGGACATTGTCAGGTAATCCTTTTCTAACGGGTTGGTTAGATACTTTAAACTCCAAGCAAATTCTGTTAATATGCAAAAGTAAACTTTTGGGGTGAGTTGACAGTATTGCATGGGATTTCATCATCATGGTCGTGTACAAAGCAGCTTGTTGGAATAGAGATGTTTTATACTGAGGCAGTATAATGCCTGTTTTTGCAGTATAGATGGCGTGTCTGAAAGGGTCCCCTGCTTCTTAACTGCTGGAAAGTGGCTTTCTTTTTTAAAAAATATTATTGCTGTTTCAAAGCTCTTGACACTGTTTTCTGTCTGCCTTTCTCTGATAAAAACCACGGTTATCTCCTCAGGGCTTCTTCACATCCTAATTACAACCGAGTCCCTTATTAGCCCTGTAGGGAGACAGAGTCAAACAACATATGGTATTTTTCACTTAGGATGCTGTGGTTACCAAAAGTTGGAGAGAGACAGGAAAAGGGGGAGTTAACATTTCATAACCATTTATGGAACAAGCACAGCCCTCCTTGGACCCAGTTCAGCAGAGACTGTGGGCCTCAGATCAGGAACTTTATCTGGCTAGTAATTGCATCGGCATGCTGGCTTTCTTGTGTATGTGTGTGGGCATTTGGGGAGCAGAATTCTAAGCTGCAGAACCTTTGTGCTGGCATCCACACGTGAGTATGAATTAAACATATCTCACTTGAAGGACTATGGCTGGATTCTACAATTGCCTGAAAAGTAAAAAGTAAGTGACGTTCTAACCCTTCCCCCTCTACCTTTTCTAAAGTTAGTTGATTCTAGTGGATACTTTAAAATTCTGTCTCTGATATACTGCATAAGAACTACAGCACCAAATAAAATATCCATGCTCTCAACCTGAAGTGCCATTCTTAATAACAAAGTGCAGAATAGCTGTTATGACTGCAATATTAGACTAATGAGAATTGGAAATATTTTTTCTTTAGTGGACTAAATGTAGCTGTAAACACGTACTATCCCAAAAAAGATTTTTGTCCAATTACACTGAAAGAAGAAAAAAATCTTTCTTCCAGATTATCTAAATTAGTTGTACAATCATGAATAAAAATAAGAAACACAGAAAAATGCACACTAGTTTCAAAGAGCTGCATTAATTCAGCTAGAGTCATAGCATTAGATGCTACGTAAGAAATTCATGCGCACAGCTTTTGAACATAAAGGCTGAAAGTGTTTTTCATTTTTGCTCTCCACTGTCCAATTGTCCTTTGATTTTATTTAAAATACGTAATTTTGGTTTCCACACTGTCATGGTTTGTGGGGCCAGCTGTGAAGGGAGAATAAAACCGAACACTGCATGCTTATGTCTGTGCTTTAGATAATGATGAAGACACCTTGGTTTTTCTATTGATACTCTCCTTGCTAAGGAATGGAACAAAATATTCTGTTGTAAAAGCTGAGCAGTGGTTTTGAGATGATATTTTAAGTGAGCAGACTGTAGAGGGCTCTTTGCTTGTAATACAGTACAAGATATACTGGAAGGAAAATAGCAGTAAAAGGCTAACAGAGTTACATCTTGAAGCTTAAGATATGAACTCATGATCCTTCTGTCATGCAGCACTGTTAAATATGTGAGTGAAATCCTGCTAATGGGTAAACTCCCATTGACTTAATGAGGCCAGGATTTCACCCTCTGTTCCCCCCAGATTATAGACTTCAGTCCAGGAGCCTGTTGCACTTATTCCTTTGATGGAGACTCAGAAATTCAAAGGGCACCCAACTCCATTGTATTTCAGCTAGGGTTTCCATTGGATTTGAACTCCCTTAGGAACCTCTGAATATCTCAGCCACAGTCTATAAAAAGGTTTTAAATATTTAGAAGAGAAAGTAATACCCACACAAAGAGAGAGAATGTGCCCATAGCTAACAAAATAAGCTAAGAGGCAGACTTGGTGAGGAGATAGATGTTTCCACTTGCATTTGTGAGAGAGCCACCTCATGTTGTCTTAAATTAGGAACACAAGAACATCTGATTTTTCCAGGCTAATATAATTGTTTACTTCCATTATTAAAACACCACTCCCCATACTTAGTCTAGCCCGTGATTTTTGTTTCATTTCTGCTCAAACATTTTTCTTAGGAATCGTTCAGCATCCGGTGTGGCTGAGGCAAAAATGGATCCTGTAGCTTGGGAGCACATTTGTAAAAAAAGAATTGCCAGATGAGGCTTCAGTGAAATAGGTTTTGATTATGTCTGTACGTTTCCCATTGAATCTCTATCTTTGTAATGTGGAGTAACAGACTGTTTGCATTTGTTTCCTTAAAGAATCCTGACTTTCTTTATTTTGAGTGCTGCATTGAGTTTATGTTTCGACTCCATTTCATAAGCTGTCATCTTAGTCTTGTGATCAGTTCCTGGGTGGATTAGTGCAATTATTAGCACTTTGCAACCTTCACTTTTGATGTTCATATTCTACTTTGATCTTAGCTATTGCCAATTAAAACTAGTATTTACAAAACCCCATTGTGATACAGTTTGGAGCACAAGATTAAGTTTTTATGTGGTTTGTTAGGAATTTGACCTTAAGGGCTTGTCTACATGGGGCAATTGAGCAGAATAGCTGTTGCTGTTAGGAACAATATATATAGCTCCCCATGTGTCCCCCGTGCAGACACTCTACTCCAGAATAAAAGTCACTCTGTTCTGCAACAGAATGTCTACACTGGGAGTTATGCTGGAATAGCAATTGTGGAATAGTTTATCTCTGTGTAGATTAAGACTGGAATAGTCTTTACTGCTCTTCCTCCTTATTTATATCTATCCCAATGCAGTGACTGGCACAATTACTGCACTTCCTTCCCCAGTAGTTAGACAGAATGCACCAGTACATGTGTGTGTATTTCTATTGGGATTGGTAAAATGCTGTCAGAGTATCTATGATGAAGAATGACCATTATGTATTCAGAATTCTACTATCTTGTTACCTCCAGCTGAGAGAAGTGCTAATTAAAGGTAACTTTCTGGAACCACTCTAAAGCTATGTTGCTTGTGTGGCCTTGTTGGAACCAGATGAACCAAAATCTTATCTTCTCCAGGTCTCTTTATCATCATAAGAGGATTTTTGAATCATGCTGACAGAGACAAATTCATAAAAAAACTACAATGGGAGATATCAGGGTGTCTCATTAGCGGTGGAATGATATATTGAGATGATTCTTGTTTAATTCCATTGGAGCGGACCATTCCTCTCCACATTCTTTTCAGCACAGTAGCCCCCTGGAATCTGATAGTGTGAGGTGCTGTACAAACACAGAGAGATACAGACAGTTCCCGCCCTGAGGAGTTTACAAGCTAAATAGGCTAGACGAAGAGTGGATGCAGAAATAGAGACAGAGGTAAGTGTCTTGTCTAAGAGCACAGAGCAGGGCACTAGCAGAACTGGGAACAGAACTGGGGGTCTCATGGGACCCAGAGCATTGCCCTGTTCACTGAATCATACTAAAATTGCTGATGTGTTGCCCTGATTATAAAGACTCCTGGAGCCATGACAATTCCTGAATGCATTCTGTTAGACTAGCTTTGTTATCATCTTATTGAGTGCATATAATACCATAATGAGGTTGCACAGCGAGAGAGGAAGAAAATGATGGCAAGTTAAAATCTTTTATTGCTGAGTGCTATATATGAGAAGCCAGTGTAAAGACTATAGTCATGAGCGTGACAATGAGTCAGAAGCCTCTTACGTTTTTGAGGCCAAACCCAAGGACACACAGTGCTTGTATGACGGGACTCTTAGGAACTTTTTTCCCAACATTTGAGTTCACGTGACGTGTCAGTCCTGGAAATTTGTAAATGTACGTGAAATAGAGCTCTGCAGTTTTGTCAATGTACATGATAAGAGGAATTTGCTTTGAGTAAAGCAAGCCCATGAACAAGATGTATGGAACTTTAATATTTGTTATCATGCAAGTAACTCCTGAGCCATGGCAAACAGCTTCCCTAAAGGTAAACCTTCACATTGATACTGCTGCAGTAATCAAGCCATGCACTGTGGAAGGCAATGGGCCAGATTCATTCCTGGCGTAACTCCATTTACTTCACTGGAATTAAGCCATGGATAGATCTAAAGTATCAATTTTGTTTGGGGTCCTGCTCCTGATCTTACAAACTCCACGTGGAATCCTCACTCCTGTTCTGACACCTTCATGTTGGGGAAAAGGGCCAGAGCAGCATAAAGGGGCCCTGAAAGGCTTGGATCTGGATCTGGAAGGATTCTCCTAGGGCAGGTGTGGTGGTAGAGAGCAATAAGGCTGCCTCCTGAGGATCCCCTTGCAAGTGCTGGAGTACATGGTGTGGAGGGGCAGGGGGGAGAGGAATGACTCACTCAGCGCTGCAGTACACAGCACTGCAGATATTCAAAGCAGGACTGTAGCCCCTAGAGCATCCCCAAGAGGCCAGGTCTACACTCTGAGTTACTGAGCAGCAAACCAGGGTGCAAACCTGCTGTGCAGTGATGTCCCATGTTGACACTCCCACAGCCCTGCAGCAGTGTCTACACAGAATGTTGCTGCACGTGTGCTGGTGCGCTGCAGATTCACACCCTGGCTTGCCGAGCCGTAACTCGCCATGCGGAGAAGCCCTTAGACAATGGGAATTTTGACACTTGACTTCAGCAGGGTTAGGATTTCCCCCAGTTTTCCTCCTGAATATCCATATGATACGGCAGTTTTCAGCTGCAACCAGAGGAAATGTCAGGTAATTAGCTTTATCTGGATGGGGATTTACTGCTGAACAATGCCTAGCATTACTAATTACTAATGTTTGCAAAGAAAGCTAAGAGTGTGCACCCCTCCCAGAGTCACTATGGTTTACTACACACTCACATGATACTGTGACTGGCCGGATGCCACATAATCTAAGCAGATTTTAGTAATCTAAGAGACCTACTTGGTAAAAATCAATTGCTCGCAGCAGTTCTAACAATGAAGTATTAGGTCAGCTAATACATTATGGCTCAAAAGAGTTTGTAAAAGAATACTCTTGCTGCCAAAGCCTGTCTCACTCTTAAAAGTCTTGATGTAACTCAAGTAGCTTCATTCTCCCTGCAGAGCTGGCCAGCAAGAATTAGAGCTTGCAGGGAAAACACCCGTTCTGCTGAGTTCAGCAGTCTGAAGAGTTCAAAAGGTAAAAATGTGCAGCTTCCCACCAGAAATAAACTGTGAAACTGGTTCAAAAAAGTGTGATTGCAGCTGGCAATTAAGCCCAACAGCCGGCACCTTGCTGGAAAGCAGCATGGCTGGGGCCCAAGGTCAGGGGATGGAAACTCTTGACAATCGGGGAAGGGGAGACAGCAGCCATTTATTGCAAATATTCACCATAATATATTTTAAGCAGTGAGGGTCTTTTTACACCGCAGAACAGAGAACTTTTTTTAAAATAAAGACAATCCTGAATAGTTGGCTCCCATTATTCCTGTGTGAAACCCAGATGCCTGGGTTCACCGGGCTCCATGAAAACTTTGTGCCTGGATACATTTTCCATGGCCCTAAGTTCCTTGTTAGTGTAACCCACACACCTGCTGGGTGTGGTGCTCTGTCCCATTGAGTGGCACCGAGACCACTAAGAGAAAGATTAATGAGTTTTCTCCACACCCTTAGCTAACAGCCATATTTAGCTCATGCAATAGAGGCTCATGCACTAAGCTCCAGAAGTCCCAGGTTCAATCCCGCCTGCCGATGACCGGGGTCTGTCGGCGTTCTATTAGCATG